AAAACACCCCTTGCTTTAACACATACTTTACACCAGGTGTTAGAGAATTTGCCCCGTGAATCACCCCCAAGGCTTCAGCGTTCATCCCTTTCAGATTCCCTTGTTTTTGACCTCTCCTTCTAGAAACATATCAGTCTCCTCTTTTCTCTAACAGGACCCACTCTTTGGAATTCTCATCTTTGGGGCTGAGGAAAAGAAGGCATGCTTTTTAATCACCTGATTACTTGACCACATCTCCTTTCACTGGGGATTGGATGTGGCTTGTTCCCTGAAAGTCCATTTGCTAGAATCTTGGTCCCTAGGGTGGTGATGTAGAGAGAGCTGGGATACTTGGGGGAGGGAAGCTGAGGGAAGGTGGGTACATCACTGAGGATACTGTCTGTAGAGTTGATTGACATATTCTTGTAGGACCCTTTAATTGCTAGGAGAGCAGATTGCTACAGAATGAGTGAGTCTGGCTTCAGAATCTCCCCCAACTTCCTGTTGCATCTTGCGGTATCTTCCTCTCCCACATGCCCCCACCATGAAAGACTCCAACAAAGTGCTGCCTCACTGAGCAGCGGGTCCTGGAACCCAGGGGATACTGGTTCCTTCTGAGTCCCCTCTTAGTTCCCATCAGCTTCTGAGACCCTCTCTGGGCCCTGAGAGAACACAACTCACAAGTGAAGTTCTTGAACTTAGCTATCCAAGGGCAATATATCCTGCAGGAAATGTTCTTACTGCTTGCAGAAGGACGGGTCTCCCAAAAATGAGAGATTCCTCATGTTCTCCATTTCTCATTGCTAATGTTGGCTGAGGGGTCAGAGAGTCACTTCCTTATAGTATTGGTGAGTTTCAGTGCACACAAATTTCCACAGAACAAATGAGACTTTGCGCATTGAAAGATTTAACGCTTGTACACTGTCGGGTCTGGCAATTCTTCTTCGAGGAATTTAACCTGAGAAAACAATTAGGAGAATGTCCACAGACGTGTGCAGAAGATGGATTGCTTAAGAAAGAGTAAAGACAACCTTTGAAATTCCAGTGTGACAGGATAGGTTAATTGAATCACTGTGCTTGAATGAAATAGAATCCAATTCATTATATACTTTAAAAAAAAAAAAAAGGTAGAGCTGGAGAAGGCTCAGCAGCTAAGAGCACTCACTGCTCACTTGTGAGGAGCTGAGTCCAGCACCCACATCAAGTAACTCACAACTAATTTTAGGGAACCTGATGCCCTCTTGTGGCCTCTGCAGGCACCTGTGCCCGTATATGTGCATATACTAACACAGACACACACACATCCTTTTCCAAAGATGCAGTGGTGCAAGGGTTATGGATGTGGGTCAGTTGACAGACAATTGCCTAGCAGGCACAAAGCCCTAGGCTCCATCCCTAGCACCGCATAACTGGGCATGGAGGTGCATACCTGGAATCTCAGCACTGAGAGGCAGAAGCAGGAGAATCAGAAGTTTAAGGTCATCTGTGGCTACACAAGAGTTTAAGGCCACATTAGGATACATGGGATTTTTGTCTCAAAGAAGAAGAAGAAAGAAATAATGGTGCAGCTTCTATAATATGTACACATAAACTTTAACTGCATTAAGTCAAACTGCTTATGAAAGATGTAATGACACTGGGTGGCATCGAGTGTAATGACACTGGGTGGCTTGCTGTGTACCAACTACTATTCTAAGACCTGCCCAAGGACTAGCTCAGCCATTCTTCACATCAACCCCACCAGGAAGAAACTGCCACTGTCCTGTTGCAGGGGGCTCTGGCAGGTCACATGACTTACATAGCACACACAAGGGAGTACACTCAGGCAGTTGAATCCCAGAGCCTATATTCTTAAAAACCACGTGATTCTACTTCTCTATGGAAGGTCATATGTCCCTTGAAAATGAAACAAGTAAATGTTATATATGCTTGTGTGTTATTGACAACGCAAAGGAGGACTGAAATGTGGTGCAGAACAATTGTCTATATTCTGTCAATTATGTTTTAAATAAGTGTTGATTGGCCAGTAGCCAGGAAGGAAGTATAGGTGGGACAACCAGACAGGAAGTAGAGGCAATGAGAACAAGAGAATTCTGGGAAGGAGGAAGCCCATTCCTCCCCAGTCCTGTCCCAAACACAGAGGAAGGAAGATGTGACTGCCCCACTGAAAAAGGTACTGAGTCATATGGCTAACATAGATAAGAATAATGGGTTAATATAAGTTATAAGAGTTAATAAGAAGCCCGAGCTAAGGGCCAATCAGTTTATCATTAATATAGACCTCTGTGTGATTTCTTTGGGGCTAAACAGCTGTGGGACCTGGTGGGAGGACAGAAACCAGGCAGGACAGAAATCCCGACAACAGAAATGAAAATATTAACTTGAAGAACCATAATGAAATTGATTCATTTTCTTTTTTTGAGACAGAGTTTCTCTGTAGCTTTGAAGTCTGCCCTGGAACTAGCTCTTGTAGACCAGGTTGTCCTCGAACTCACAGAGATCCACCTGCCTCTGACTCCTGAGTGCTGGGATTAAAGGCATGTGCCACCACTGCCCAGATGATTCATGTTTTTAAAAAAGCCCTCCTATATATTGTGGTTCTTTACTCTGGTGAGGTAAATTCACTGTGTTAGTATTAGAATCCTTCACCCCTGTTCTACACAATACTCAGGTTCCTGGTGGGAATATGGGCCCATGTCTGCCACTGTGTCTATGGAGGTATGAGACAACTTTCTGGAGCTGGTTCTCTCCTTCCACCTTGTTTTGAGGCAGAGTCTCTTTCTCTTTCTGCTTGCTGTATACTCCAGATTGTCTGGCCTGGAACCTTCCACATTTCTCCCATCTCTCTGCCTCACATAAGACACTGGGGATCAGACTCGAGTCGTCAGGCTTACGGACACAGCAAGTGCCTTTACCAGCCGAGCTGTTCCACTGGGCCTCCCTGGATGTGATATCAACCAAGGATCTAAAAGACTTTTCTCAGATTTTCAGTCTGTGCAATGCAGCAACTCTCTGTAACAGTCTTCCTGGATAGTTCAGTCATCAGAGTTCACTACGTGTTATATGAAAAACACAAAGGCCCTGTCAACAGAAAGACCCCTTAAACATATCTCTCTGTCTGCCTGCCTGCCTATCTTTGTCATGCTTGTTTTAAAAGAGGGACAAGGAACTACGGAGTTGTTTGCAGATGATTTCCATCGCCACCTCTGGTCACATTAAAACTGGCTTTCTTTTCTTTTTAAAGATTTATTTATTTATTTATTATGTATACAGTGTTCTGTTTGCATGTATGCCACCAGACCAGAAGAGGGCACCAGATCTCATTACAGATGGTTGTGAGCCACCATGTGGTGGCTGGGAATTGAACTCAGGACCTCTGGAAGAGCAGCCAGTGCTCTTAACCTCTGAGCCATCTCTCCAGCCCAAAACTGGCTTTCTTTGAATCATTGTCTTTCACTTTGAAATCTCTTCCAGACTAGTTTCTCCAGGGGCACTGACTTCCGAGGATGGCCAGCTCCTCCCTGAGGGTGCAGCTTCCCCATCTGCTGCTGTGATGGCCTCTGCTATGGCCACTCCTTGATGTCAAGAAGGAGGGTTCCTTGTTACCCCTGGGGACCACACAGGAGCCAAAAATGCTTTAAAGCAAACCTAAAGTGACAGCAGCTGTGAACTTCACTCCCACTACCTGGCAAGTTGCTGTGACCGTCACATTAGAGGAGGAGCTGACCTCCACAGAGCTCTTGCCACTCATCTGAGGTCCTTTAGCCAGAGTTTAAACACAAATTTGACTACAAAAAATGCACATTTTGGGTAATATCTCAGGTGGTAAAGTATTTTCTGTACAACTATGAGGATCTGAGGTTGATCTCCTGGAATCCATGTAAAAAACAAAAACAAATAAAACCAATTAGGCCCAGTGTCATGCACTTGTTATTCCAGCACTGGGGTTGGGGAGGGGTGAAGAGAGGATCCCTGAGGATCTCTGGGAGCAAGTTTGGCCTACTAGGCATGGTTCAGGCCAAGGAGAGATTCTGTCCCACAAAATAATAAAGCAGGTGGTACCCGAGGAAGAATACTTGACATTGTTCTCTGCTTTAAGTGTGTGCACCACACACACACATACACACTTTTCACTTTATCCTGACTCGGGGTGATTTATTCAATGGAACTACTTTGTTCACTTGCTTTTTCCAAACTAGATGACGTAAGTGTAGTGAGCCTGACAGGACCGCCATTACAAGATGGCGCCGACATCCTGTCTTGTTGGAAATAAACAACTCCATATTTGGCTAAGCCTTTGAGAGCTGCATGTACCCCGCTTCCCGCATGCGCAGTGGATAAGGGTCCCTGGGCCTATCCCGATGCAGTCTGGTGTCAGCTGTTGGTGGCAGCCAATCACAGGGCGACCCGTGTGCCATTTCCATATATAGGCACCTGCCTTTGGGCTTTACTCTTTCTCGTTTCCTGCCCCTCGTTTCCTGCCCCCTTCGTTTCATGCTCTCTCTCAACCAAGGGCACTCCAATAAAGCATGATCTGAGAAGAATCCTCGTGTGGTGGTCGTTCTTCCTCGCTGGTCGAGAAATCCGCCGCAGTAAGCCTGTGAAGGGAGGGAGATTTCAAATTTTTTATTTCTTTATTTTTATACGTATATTTGTGTGCATCAGATTCCTCAAAACTGGGGTTGCAGGCAGTTGTAAGCTGTCATGCAGATGCTGGGAACCGAACCCTGATCCTCTGCAAGAATAGCAGTTGCTCTTAACAGCTCTGCAGGCCTGGAGGGTTATTTTTAAAAGGAAGATTTAATCCTTTGTGATCATGAATATATCTTAGTCTTTTCAGAAAGTGTGTTAGCAAAATGTATTTCAGGATTTGAAAACATACAATCTTAGACCTCACCACTCTTCTGTGGATTAACTGAAGAAAGGTCATTTGTATCTGACCTTGACACCATTCCAGAGCCTGGTCTGCTAAGTATCTATTCCTCCTACATAGTCACGGACGAAACAGAACAGAGACAATGTTAGAACAAAATAGAAGGCATTTATTAAATATATGTGACGTGGGTTTTAATATCAAAGTAGAGCGTGCATGAATAGACTCCTCATCCACTTAACAAAAATATCAATGGTTACTTAAACACGAAATGACTAAATGCCACAACATACAAAATTCTTCTTTAAGTGAGAAAGGAAAGAATCACAGCTTGCATAAATATAGTGATCTCAGGTGGTCCAATTATGGCGTAAGGCACACATTAAAACAGGAATCAGTGAATCAGAATGCAGTTACTCTGGCACACCCAAGTCTCTAAACGTGGCTCCCACAACCAGGCCCACATCCTCCCCACCAGAGGAGAGAGCACCAGATGCCAGGAATCTTCCCCTCCAGTTCAAGTTTTTCCAGGTGCCCATGCTCCTTGTGCACAGGCTTCTCCTTGCGGGAGAAATACTGCTGCTAATACTTTCCGGGTAAACAAAGCCTTTATGCTGTAACAAACATGAAGTTTTTAATTAATGCCCCTTTCTCTCCAAACCGAGTAAAACAACATAGACTGTAAAGCCAGGACTTCAACATCCACATGGAAAGCAAATGAGGATTCTGTATAACAGGGTTGGGCGGGTGTCCGAAAGAAGACCTCATGTCCACATCCTGGCTTGTTCTCTCTGCCTCCACTGGCCCGAGATTCCCTTTCTGGCTTACACCATGTCTATGAGGAAGCAATCATCACCCTCTCCAGACCTTTACGTCGCAGGGTTGCAGGGCTTTTCAACACCTGCAAGAAGCACGTGTCTCTGAGTCCCTAAGTCAGCGTTTTCTTTGAGGTTAACTCCAGGACTCGCGTGTATGGGGTGTAACTCCTGGAAGGCATCGTGAATTCGCGGGTCCTGCCTGTTGGGCTGAGAAATGAGAAAAGAAAGAAGAGGAAAATGAGACAAAACTCTCTATGTGCTTCATGTAGTAAGAACTCAACACTGAAAGATAAAAATGTGATGATTTAATAATGCAATTGAATATTGGGCAGAAACACTATAAAAGGGATTGGCTATGGACTGAATATCATTTCCCTGCAAATTCAGAGCTGAAATCCTAACCCTGGGAAGGACAGCATCAACAGGTGAAAAGGCCATGAGGGTGGCGCCCTCCTGAGTAGGATTAGGTCTCAGGGAGCTTCAAGTGAAGAATGGGAAAAGCATTGTGAACCAGATGCTGAGTCTGTTGGTGCATTGGTCTTGGACTTCCTGACCTCTGGGATAAGAAGTAAATTTGCCTGCCCTTTAGCTTCTAGTTCATTTTGACCAAATATGAAATTACATTTCCCAGCCTCCTTTGCAATTAGGTGGACCATGTTACTGAATGGGCAGAAATGAGTCCTCTCACTTGAGGTTGAAATGGTCCATCCCTATGCATTATCTTGCATGGTCACCTTCTTTTCTCTTTTATGTAGAGGTTTGGGTTGGGGAGTGAAGGGATACTAGCCCACTTGAGCACGTAGCTCTGGTGGACTTTACCCTTCTCCCCATGCCCTCTGCCTTGCTCAAAACCATTAGATGACATTCCTAAAGCTAACCGCCAAGGTCTATTCCCTTATTTGGTTACCTCCTCTTCCCCAGGCTGACTTCCAAAGTCCAGCAATCAAAAGCTTCCTTTCACCTAGTTAACATGTCCAATAAAAATTAAACACCTCATCCTATCACAGGGTTTCCCATTTTATCTCTATAAACCGCCATTTTCCCTTGTGTCTTGTCTATCTCCTTTCTATCCAGAAGCAATCCTTTGTCCCTCGGGGACAAATACCTCTTCCCTCTTTCCCTTGTTCCCTTCCCCTTCTTCTTCTTCCCCCTTTCCTATACTACTGCATCCTAGCCCATGCTAACACAGACCTCCCCTTTTCTTCCTCTTAAAAATTACACCCGCAAGGTCATTTGCTGCTGTTTTCCTGCCTGAGTCAGAAAGCAGCCACTTTATCTTCTCTTCCCCGCTAAATAAAGGATCTCTCTGTGAAACAGGTGTTTAGGTGTGGGTTGTGCCTAACCCAGGGTCTAGGAGGGAGTCCTCAATGTTAGGGTGTCCCCTTCATGGAGGGTGGGTCCAAGGAAGTCATTGGTGGAAGAATCTTAGAACCCTGGATGACATTTCTACCTGCCTTGATCTGTGACATGGAGGTGACAGTTATATCCTTGACCCCAATAGCACAACGACCACATGCACAGGAAGCATAGCAGTTAACGTCCTCGCCACTAACTTTCCATGTTCTGTCATTCACAGTGGGACAGGCTGTATCAGGAGTATGAGGGGCAGGGATGTCAGAGCTTACACATTGCATGTCTCCCCTAGGACATAGTTGTGTAGTAGTTTATTTCAAAATTAAAACTTTTCCTTTTGGAGGGAAGCTTATTAAGACATAGGATGTTAGGACAGAGGTCAAACAACATGATGTGGGATTCCCCTCTGTATGCTGTGAATACATTTTATTACCATTGGTTAATAAAGAAGCTGCTTTGGCCTATGTCGGGGCAGAATATAGTTAGGCTGGAAGATATATATATATATATATGTATGTATATATATATATATATATATATATATATATATATATATATATATATATATATGGAGAGAGAGAGAGAGAGAGAGAGAAGACAGAGTCTGGGAGATGCCAAGTAACTGCCTAAAGAGAAGGACAAAAGAACAGAGTTAAGCATGGTTTCTTGTAGCAGCATTTTCTTGGTAGGGCTCTGTTTGTTAGGTGCAAGCAGAGGCGTGACTCCTTTAAGAGAAGGCTCCAGGACTCAGCATTGGCAGGAAAAACTGTGTGACTCCTTTAAGAGTTGGCTTCCTGGTTCATGCTGGTCCTGTTGTGGAGAACTTCAATGGGATCTGTGAGCAGTGTGTTACAGATTGATTAATGGCAACATAGACCCGCTGTGTCCTTGGAGCTGGGGCAGTGAGCATGGATCACAGAAGCAGCGAATATACCTCTGCCATTTTGGACTGGGCAGAGCCAAAAGGCAAAACTGCAGCAATTAGTCCTGGCCATGATGTTTAGCATTTTAAAAAGTGCTCCTGGTCAGAAAAGCATTACAGATACACAGTAAAGGCAGATTCAGACAAAAGAAAAAAAGACCTCTAAGTGGGTCACAATGTTAGATAAATGTACATGGGCTTCAGAGAGAGAAGAAAGTACAGACAGTCATAGATTAAAGGAGTAAAGATAATAAAATAAATATTTAAAAAGTAATGAGTAAAAAAAGCCATGTAAAGATGAAATATACACAAGGAGTCTGGATTATGTATATTATTGTGTTGTCTTTGAATTTTTTGACTGTTAATGAAATAACTGCAGAGAGACATTTGATTGTGGGAGCTGCTAAACTAAATTAACATATATATTTTAAAGGTATCTTGACTTCAAAATTTGAGTCTAAGGTTATGTTGCTTTGGAAAAGAGGTTCTGCTTTTGTTTCCACAGAAAATGAGAACCTGTGGATTCCTTCCAGGCTAGCATGATCTGATGGAACAAGACCTCCTAAAAGGTCTTAATGAACCCTAAGAATACTTTGCCCAACAAACAGCAGGGAGCAGTCTAGAGAAAACAACACCCAAATTTCCAAAATGAATGTTTAAAAATGTTTGTTTTCATTTAAAGGAGATGAATATTTTGCATTGGTGTGGATCTTAGCCTATTAATAAAAATTTAAGGTCAATTTTGTTACATTGTGTATATGTATTTCTGCTCTTGTTTAAGGTATTGTGTTTGTGCAGCTGATTTTAAAAAGTAATGTGTAGTTAAAAAAGAAATATAGATTAATAGATAATCCTTTATAATAGTCAAACTTGTGGTCACGTTAGTTAGGTTTTCTAGATATGCAGAAATATATTTCAGTTAGATCTTCAACAGTTTAAAGACCTACAGAATGTGGTATCTAAAATGTTTTAAGAACTTAAACTTTTCTCGACAGTGAGACATGTCTGCTTCTGGCAGCACCAATTACTTTAGAGAGGCTGATGGGCATTGTAAGAAACTCATTATGAAATTTGCCTTCAATTTGACAAGGTTAGCCATTTGCACAACAAACTGCTCTTGCCTGGACTGCTTGGTGGTATGCTGTATAAACTGGATATGCAGGACCCACAGAAAAATGACTGTTGAACTTGCCTAAAGAAGGTGAGACAATCCTTCAGGGTTCCTGATTTATAAAAGAAACTGCCAGACATTCTGCAGAACACAGAAGAAAGTTACTGAACAGTTTTTCAAATTTCCTGTTTCATGGAAAAGTCTGCCAGATACTATGGGCCTGTAGGCTGAAGATGGATGTCCCAATGTTACAGAAAAACTTTGGGTGACTGTCCAGGCAATTAGACATCTCTGTCAATTCTAGAGTTTTGAAATTTGCTTGCAATTCACTTCCTGTTTACTTGGGTAATATTATAACCTTCTGGGGTCTTTGAAGAAGTTGAAGACACATAGTTACAGTTTTCCTTAGTTATGATAAAAGATAAATTAGATATGAAACTTTATATTCACAAAAAATACTGTAATTCTTGCTTGATACTTATTTTGTTATATGTAATTTTACTATGTTAAAGTTAAAAACCTCTTTTATTTAGACAGAAAAGAGGAGATAATGTGGGATTCCCTTCTGTATGCTGTGAATATTTTATTACCATTGGCTAATAAAGAAGGTGCTTTGGCCTATGGCAGGACAGAATATAGCCAGGCTGGAAGAGATATATAGAGAGTAGGCCGAGTCAGGGAGACACCACATAAATGCCGAAGGAAAAGGTTGCCTGAACCTTACCAGCCTGGGCAGGCAGGAAACAAACAAGCAGTATCCTTTTACAACAACAGGATGTTCTAAAGAGAGGTGAAACATTCCATCCTGCAGGGTAGCCCCTTAATCTTAGGAAGTAAACAACGCCAAGGCATCAGGAAGTTCCTGAAACTGACCAGATCCAAGCCTTCCCCAAGTGTATGTAAACAAAGAGTAAGGACTACTGAGAGACATTCGCAGATCTGTTGAGCTTCCTTTGAGAAGCAGAGAGTAAAGGCAGGAGTGGTGGTACACATCTTTAATCTCAGCAGATCTCTGCAAGTTCAAGGCCAGCCTAGTCTACATAGCAAGTTCCAGGTCAGCCAGTACAATAAGATCCTGTTTCAAAAATAATTAAATAAAATAAACAAAAACAAAAATGGAGGAGGAGGTGGTGGTGGAGGAAGAGGAGACCTGAAAAGGGCTCAGGCAACTGAGCTACCTGGAAAGGACACTCTCCAACCTGCTGAGCTACCTTCAGGCTGTGCAATGTTCTCCAGCTACCCGCAGGCTGTGCAGTGTGCTCCAGCTACCCGCAGGCTGTGCAGTGTGCTCCAGCTACCCGCAGGCTGTGCAGTGTGCTCCAGTTACCCGGAGGCTGTGCAGTGTGCTCCAGCTACCTGCAGGCTGTAGCAGTGTGCTCCATCTACCCACAGGCTGTAGCAGTGTGCTCCAACTACCTGCAAGCAGTGTGCTCCAGTTTTCCAGCTGGCATGAGCTGTCACCCATGCTGGAGTGGGTTTTTGGTGATATAGCTGCCTTCAAATCATTTCTGGTCCGGTAAGTAACCCCAATAAAACTCTTTGGCTCACCATGTTGAAGTTTGATGGTATCCTTACTTTGTCTGGCATTGTGTCCCTATCTGGGTAAGCAGACACTTGTTCCCATCTCCCCAGGGCCACACAACAGAGATTCCCGTATGTCTTTTCCATGCATTCCATTCCCTAGGCACACTGAAAATGACTGTTGCCTGGGCTGTGACACACCGGTGGCAGTGTCCCCTATCACACTGATTCGCATCTGTGTCCATTGCCAGGCCTGATTTCCCTGGGAGTGAAAACCATGTCTCACTCAACTTTGTGAGTCAGGCTGAGCATGGAGCTTTCAGCTCACACAGACATGAAGACGGAAACCAGTGGGAGTTTATGGAGGGCGGCAGTCACGGTGTCACTGCCCACAGACAGGAATCTCTGGGGTGTGGCACTTCAAGAAGGCCCTGGTGACCTGGCGAGGCAGATTAGAGGAATAACTGGAGCAGAAACCAGATGGGCCTTGTGTGCCAACTCCTATGAAAATTCCATGCAACAGAAACAGTCTCCTGTGACAATATCCTAAAAGCTCATAAAGCACAGAAATATTTATAAAGGTGAACCTCCTGCGTCTCAAAAACAGGCACTCACATCCCAACCTTTCAAAAATGTAAAGTGACAGGCGGGGGGTGGGGGGGAGGTGCTTTACAAAGCTGATCACTAGGAAGCAATAGGACTTCAAGAGCATAAGCCATTTCAATCACAGGACTGAAATTTGCTTGTTTGAGAACAGTTTCCCTGGAGGCAGGAAGCACTTGCAGAACCAAAAAAAAAAAAAATTTATATTTTGATCTCTACATCAAAAAAAGTAAAAATAAAAAACTTTAAAGCACTTACTATGTGCAGGGCACCAGTGGCCATGGGAAATATCTGCCCCCAAACTGCGCCAACTCAGATAGAACCAAGGAGCTTGGAGAGATGGCTCAGCAGTTAAGAGCACTTGCTGCTCTTATAGAAGGTCCAGGCTCAGTTCCCAGTTCCTACACGGTGACTTACAACTAGTAAGTCCAGTTCTGGGGGATCCGATGCCCTCCTCTGGCCTCCACGGACGATGCACATACATGCAGGCAAAACACTCAAACACATGAAATAAAATAAATATATCCAAAAATTAAAAGTAAATCTAATTTTTTAAAAAGTAACTAAGTTTACTGGAAACTATGTTTGAATACATTAAGGAGCAGAAGAAAGAAAAGTCTCATCGTTCATTCTTCCTTTTTCTCTGTACTCAGAGGCCAGATGACCTTAAGTAATTCTCAGTGACTAATTAATATGGATCATGCTTTTCAAACTGAATTCATTCTTAAAAACCAAAACTGGGTGTTTAAGACTCTTGAACTCACAGTGAGTCACGCTTCATATTTTCATTCCACGATGAGATCCTCGCCCACTAGAAATAAATGCAACCCAAGGATGAGACAGAGGAGGAGCAGCAGGCCAGGAAACTAGAGACAAGGAGGAAAGATGGCTGTCAGGCAGGCTGGAGAGAGGAAGGAAAGGGTCTTTCTGAGGTCACCCAGAAGGAAAGTGATAGCACAGGTAAGTAAGCGAGCCCACGGGCAAAGCAACCATGACTGACATACAGCTCAACTGTAGATCGCTGGAAAATGGTGGAACCATCCGCAGATGATGGACATGCAAGTGCTTGGGCTGGCTGCCCTGAGTTTCTTAGCTGTCCACTTGGAAGTCAACTTTCGGGGTGCTGCACAGGAATGCTCTCACAGCCAAACAGCCACCATCTGTGGGGGTTCTGCTGTGCCTGTCGGCACCTGACCATCACAACTGGTCTGGTTGACTACTGGTCTTCCTTACAGGAGGCAGTGGCAGGAGGATCACATTCCTTCCCCTGAGTATCCAAACATTTTCCTAACCAGCTGTATTCAGCTTTTCTCTAGTCGATAGTGTCCTCAGGGGCTTGGGGTGGGGCTGGAGAACATAGGCTCGGGAGAACTAGGAGAAGGTGACTCCATCTGTGTGGCTATGGGGAAACTCTCACACATGCTGGGTGAGGACTTTCTACTGTTGCTGCCTGGGGTCACCCATGTTCCTATGAGAAATCCTTCCCCATCTCTGTAAGGAGACCCAATAGACTCACTGGTTCCCTGGGGGATGCTCTGGAGGAACAGAGTTTTGGATCGCCATTGGGACCTCCATCCCCAGCAGAGAAAATTCTCGACACAGCGCCGACCACCAAATCTCCCCTTCTTCCTTTCTTTACTTTTGTTTTTGACTTTGAAAACGGGTCTCACTATGTGGTCTCGCTACAATCCTCCTGCCTCAGCCTCCCTCATCAAATTTCCCTTCCAAGGTGAGGAAACAGAAACTCAAAGAATTTAGATTTTTCCTCAAAGTCACACAAAAAGCAAGTGGCAAATCCGAGATACAGATCCAGGTCTAACACACAAGCAGGCATCTTAACCACTTGTAAGAACTGACTTTGGAGAAAAGGCCGATACACTTAGCCTGGAAATGGTTTGTAGAGGACCAAACAGACACCAGCCGGAGGATTCCAGGAGCTGTACAGAATGAGGGCTTGTGTTCCAGAAAGGCTCAGGCACAGGGAGGGAAGGCAACACTATGGCCCGGTGCAGTCTTGGCAGAAATAACTGAAACCAAGGCAGAATCACGAGGTGCGCTGAGAAGAATGAGGCACACGCCGTGGAGGAAGATGGAGGACAGGCGGGGAGGGCAGGGAGAGCTGCTTTACTCTTATTGAGTGAGAGGCCAGCATTGTTCTGCCTAGGAACTGTGTTGAAGCTCTTCAAACAAATGTTCAGAGCTGTTGAACACTCTAGGGAAACGGTGCTGCACGAGGATGTACTGAATGGCTATTCCATGGGACCGTTCTGAGCATGTCTCAGGGAGACCATGACTAGGAAAGGGAACAAACCTTCCGCTCGCACACCTGATGACAAATACAAGCAGCAAAACATGAGCCGGAGCTGCTTCTTCTAAGCCCTCCACTAAATAAACAAACCACATTTTAACACAGCGAGCTGCCCAAATCCCCACTTGGTGCAGACTTCACTCATTCACCCCCAAGATGTTTACTGAACTCAAACTAAATACGCGATCCTACCATCTGAATGCTTGCTTTCCAAAGGTGTCCAGGAATCAAAAGCCCAGGCCCTGTTGGGGCACTACTAGAAGGTGACAGGATCCATAGGAGGGTGGCCTCACAGGAAAGTCTTGGGTAACAGGGGTGTATCTTTCAAGGGGGTTGTGGACCCCTAGTCTCAGCTCTTTTATTTCTGTCTCCTGGATCATGGTGTAAAGAGCTTTGCTCCACCATGCAGTGCCCTCACAGAAGACTCTGGAATAAACTGAGTCAACACAGAACACAGCTCTCTTTCTAATTTGCCTCAGGTATTTCACTACAGCAGCCGTCAGGTGACTAATAACCCAGACCAGGGAGAGCACGCTGGATCCCCATTCCTAGGCATACACCATGCTGGCAGGAAAGGGGGCAGCATGAAGGGGTGCTTCAGAAAGGGGTTAGTGCTGCTATGAGGTCATCGCAATTTTGTTTTTTAGCATGATAAAATTCCAGAAGAGTCCTAGTTGTGAGCTATACTCTGAAGAGCAGCAGCAAGCATCCCAGCACCTTCAGGTGTGAGCAGAGAGTGAGCGAGGGAGCGGAGGGCTCCTGCTCCCCACAGAGCACCTGCAGTGCCCGGAACACACAGGGATCACTTTTGTGTCTCAGCTGGTATAGTGCTTATTATCCCCCAGGCCCTCTGCCCTTTGACACAGTGTCTAGGGGGATTACTGAAGAGCCTATGCACACTAAAGCGCTGTATCCTTGACTAGGCTTCCGACCAATGATAGCTACCTATAAAATTAACAAAATCGCTTTAGCAAACCCAAATTCATGTATATAGGATACAGTGTTTTACATCTCAAAATCAGAATTTTGGTTTAGTTAATAGTAGCAGTAGCTACTTAAGCACTGTGTGTGTCTTGTGTCTGTGTGTCTCTGTGTATCTGTTTCTGTGTTTGTACACATGAGTACAGTATTTGCAGAAGCCAGATGAGGGCATTGGAACCCCTGGAGCTGGAGTTGGAGGTGGCTGTGAGTCACCCAACATGGGTGCGAGGAACTTAAACTGCGGCTCTAACTGGCCGCACACAGCCTCAGAAGCCTCTTCACTCTGGCTGTGCAGCTCCTGCTAAGTTGCCTTTTTTCTCTGGACTTCCAATTTGTTTCCTTTGAAATGTAGGGATCCATCTAGACTATGGGGTTCGGATCTATTTTCACCCATAGGCCTCTATTTAAGAGAGTCTTCCTTAGAATCTAACATTTAGAACTAAGTGCTGGGTGTAGTTTGTTGGTACTAAGAAGATTGTGGGGAGGAAAGATGTTCCCCAGCTAGCACCTCAATAATCCTCGTCACCCACCATCCCCTAGGTCTCCTCAGAAGCCCCAGCAACAGGGCAAATCCTTCTTAAGCCAGGTGGAAACCCTGCCTCGGGACAGCTCAGAAGCTCTGTCTCCTCAGCCCTGTGACCTGGGGGGAACCCTGCCTTGAGATAGTGCAAAATCTCTGTCTCCTCACCCCTATGACCTGGGGGGGAACCCTGCCTCGGGACAGCTCAGAAGCGCTTGTCCTCACCCCTGTGACCTGGGGGCAGGAAACCCTGCCTTGAGATACCTCAGAAGCTCTGTCTCCTCACCCCTGTGACCTGGGGGTGCTTTTCACATAGTAGGCACTTCATAAATATTTGAGAAGAAACGGGTGAAATATCATTCTGCCCTTTCGGAAATGTGGTTATGTAGTTTTCATTTCCTCCGCTGACTGACCTAAGCAGTTAAACCGCAGCAATGGATCCTGAGGGAAACCCAAATGTTACATTTATGGAAAAGCTGCCTTTCTATGCTGACGTGCCTTCCAGGTTCACCGTGGCCATAAGTTAAGGGTCTGTCAGCACTTCCATTATGAAAACAGTTTTGTGGTTTCATAACGTAGCCATAAAAGTGCGCCTCCGGCCATCCTTGGGTGTACAAATTGAAAAGCTTGTTTTAAGCCAAAATGTGGGGAATCAGAAAACAAACAATTTATTGGTTTCAGACACGGTTTTGTGCCCGTCTTGGCCAAACAAGATTTATGATGTGGGGAATTAGAGTGATCTGAGACACTTGGTCTCTGAAAAGCCTGAGAAAGAGGGAAATGGCCAAATTACTCATATTTCAAAAAGGGTCCCGGAACACCATCAGTCATTCTTTTGGTTATATTTTCATCGAGCAAATTGTGTCATGTGTTGGTGAGATGCCGAGCCTACTTTATGTACCCTTATCTTTTTAAAAAGGCCTTTTCTGTTAATTACGTTAGAATAGTAAAACTGCCTTGTTTACCTGGAAACCAGGAAATTGGCAAAGAAGGTTCAGCGGTGCTGCTCCTAAGTTCTTTGACAATGGCAAAAGACAGGATTTTTAATCAACAAGAGCCGTCAGTCACAATGGGGGAAATGAGGGCTCACTGTGCCACATTAGTGATTCTGGAGACTTGGTCAAGCCACTCGCTGACTTTACAGACTTGGAGGCCAAGACCTCATCCAAGAAAGAACTCCTCGATGCCAGGTTACAGGTGGGCAACAGGACCAGACCAGGGCATCCCGCATCCCAGATGGGCATCTTCCCATCAGATGTCACTATTAAAGGTCCTAAGTTCTGATGTATTTTCTGGATCACTGTTTTTTAGCATAGCACATGCCCACACTCGAGTCCTTTCTTGCTCTCATGACACCAGAACTTGCCACTTCATGATCTTGATGACCTAAATCATTAGCCACAGGGCATTAATAACCATGTTATATACATAGTCACATCCTTTGTCTGAGCACAATTGAACACCCAGCCATGGTAAGTTTGTGTCAGTCAAGCAGGCCTCCAGAACAACTGTGACTAAGCAGAACACAGACCTCGCTGTGGGGAGCAGCTGAACAGTGAACAGGTCAGCCCTCTAGCCTGGTAACGAAGCTGGATGGCCAAAGGTAGAGTCAGGGTTATCATTGCTGTGATAAAACACATTGACCAAAGCTACACCACTGTTTGTCATTAAAAGAAGTCAGGACAGGAACTCAAACTGCGTAGTAATTTAGAGGTAGGAGCTGGGGCAGAAGCCACAGAGGAGCGCTGCTTACTGGCTTGCTCAGCCTGTTTCCTTAAAGAACTCAGGACCACCAGCCCTGAGGTGGCTCCATCCACAATGGGCTGGGTCCGTCCCCATCAATCACTAATTAAGAAAATGTCTTACAGGCTTGCCTAAGCCAGATCTTCTGGAGGCTTTTTCAGTTGAGGCTCTTTCCTCTCAGATGACCCTAGCTTGAGTCAAGTTGAAGTAAAACTAGCCAGCACACAGTCTAAGATCATTATGTTGAACCAGATTCAAACCAGACATCTGGATATATCAGCTATGGTACTAAAGGATGGATGAATTTTGGTCCTCATTTGGATGCTCACTCTGAAGGTACCCAGCACACCCCTCTCACATGATAATTAAGGCCTTCCTATAGCCTGTCCCTTCTCCATCTGCTACTCTGGGGCAGAAACCAATCTCATTTCTCTCTGCAACCTGTTTGCCACAGTTTGCTGAATGAATGAGAGAGAGAGAAAGAGAGAGAGAAAGAGAGAGAGAGAGAGCGTGCAAAGGCCGGCAGTAACTGATAGTTATGCTTCCTCAGTCTCTCCTTCACTTTCTCCTCCACCCACACAATTCCTCTGCCTACTTAGAAGTCACCATTAGCTCTAGAGCTGTGTTTTTCAGAGGAAGAATTCGACACTCTTCATCACAGCGCAGTGAAATAGTTTTCTTAAGTCAAAGAAGGAGTTTCAACAGAAGAACAGTAAATTCCCAGCTACCTGGGTAGAAGATCACAGCCCACTCCAACTTCTCTGGTCTCCACTTCAGTCTTGGGCTGAGTTTCTGTCAAATAGTCCAACCGGCTTTGTAGTTCATTATTCTAGAAATGAGAGGAAGGCAGCTTTAGTCAATCAAGCATGCAGCATTGACATGCATCTCAAGGTGTGACTTCCAGAGTCGGTGCTGAAGAGCGACACCGATTCCATTATTGTACAAACCGCGTGTGCACACACGCACGTCAGCTGTGCATACATGAACATAACACGTGCTGGTCTAGAGCAGAATCTGCTTTTATCAGTCAGCAATTCATTGTCAGGATGGTGAGATGGCTCAGTGGGTAAAGGTGATGGCCGCCAAGGCTGGTGACCTGAGTTTGAACCCCATGGTGGAAGAGAACCGACCCCTCCATGCTGTCTTCTGACCTCTACACAGCTCTATTGCATGTGTGTGGACACCCCCTCCCCCGATGTGTTGTAGCTCTTTCTCCCAAATTCACTAGTTTTCTGTTTGTGTCAACAAACTACATAAACCGAGTCACAGTGTCCTAGTGGATGGATGTACAGCATTTATTTAACTGGTCGCATACAGCGGGCAGTTACCGGCATTTAGCACATTTTTGGCATCATAAATACAGTGCAACCCAACTTTTTAACACTCCCTTACTAAGCTGTAAAGTGAGTAAGTCTATTAATTTAATTTAGTGGGAAAAGCCTCTATAACTGGATAATTAGTATTTCATAGGTGTGGAAAAATTCAGAATCTCAAACATATAAACTAGAACGAGCTCCTTGGGATTAAAATTAGCATTCTGTATGCTTTTCATGGCTTTTTTTTAAAAAAAAATATGGAGCCAAACATTGCATAAACTGATGATTAGATGCCCAGGAATTGGAAATGTGCCCCATGGGGAAAATGAAGGACAGAGGGCAACAAAGGTGAGGATGAGGCTAGCTCAGTTCATTCCAGATCCAGGGGACCCAGCACCCTCTTCTGGCTACCCTGGAGCCGAAGGTGAGGATGGCGCTAGTTCAGCTCATTCCAGATCCAGGGGACCCAGCACTCTCTTCTGGCCACCCTGAAGCTGAAGTTACAGGCAGTGGTGAACTGTCTGACATAGGTGCTAGGAACCAAACATGAGCCCTCTGAAAGAGCAGCAAGTGCTCTTAACTGCGGAGCTGTCTCTCCAGCTCCCTAACTGATTTTTAACAAGTTTGTTTTGCATTGTTTTAACTATTTTAGTGGGAGGTAATGACAGACTCAATTTTAAAACCATAATGGACCTATCTATTTTCTTGGCTGGAGTCTTTAAACTTGATGTGTAACACATACAAGATAAAATTTACTGAGTAAATGTATAAATCACTTATGCACATAAAAACAAATACTTTTTTTTTTTTTAAAGAAAAGGGTTTAAAAAAAGTCCCAGGACACAGAAGCTGCCTTCAGTTTGAAGTGATGTGGGCTGTCACTCAGCAGCTCCCCTCTGAATGAGCAATGCCAAGGGGCTGTTGTGTAAAACCTCGTTCTGCACTCGGTCCTGAAACAGGGAAATGGTATAAAGAAAGAGAATGCGCTCATGGTGCCCTGGAAACTGATGAGCTATGACAGACCTGCGGTCCCACTCTGTCACCCAATCTTCAGAATGAAAGAAAGGTGCTGGCTTACGGGGGGGCAGGGCATACTCTCTTCCGTTCTCCTATTTATAAGGAAAAAAAAAGCCAAAGAGGTCTTTCTTGCTGGCAACTCCAGCCCCCATAGCCTGTTTCTCTCCAGTGCAGACTTTAATCCTGAAGGTTTAATAGAATACCAGGTGAGGCTATACCATCAGGAGGCATAAGAGATGGAGTTAGCAAATTTACATAGACTGGTATACAGGGAAGGGTGAACAGGTGGCCCCGAAATATTTTGTTTAAGTTCATAGGGATTCTGTGTATATTGTCAAATACCCTCAAAAGTACAGAAATTAAAAATTAATACTTTTGAAATGGGATGAAATTGGTAAAAAAAAATAATAATAATAATGTGTCTTTTCTGTATATCAGACAGCCTAAAGGGAGTCAGTGATCAGTTAAATACAGCACAGTGTGTATCCCTGTGGATCTTGGTCTTGCTGGGGAACAGATAGCTGAACAGAACAGAACAATGTGATAGCATTACAAAAACATCCACAAAGTAATTAGAGCGAACCCAGAGGGGATATATCAGAGTGGCGAGAGGGAATGAAGTCACTAGAGAGGGCTGGGAAAAGCTAAAGAGGTGAGCACCCATGCTGGGCAGCTCACAACCACCTGTAGGCTCAGCTCCAGGATACCTGGCGCCCTCTTCTGGCCCAGAAAGGGAGCCTTAGCTCACCAAGCCTGAGACAGAAGGGAAGGGTGAGAATCAGAGTAGCAAGAAACCCCACTCTGTTCTGGCTTCAGCGGAGAGCTTTAACAGACCTTGAGCTAAAAGAAGTTTGAATCTGAGTGGTAAAGAAGTGAACTGAGCCATTACCCATGACAGGCACAGCAGGAAGTAGTTGGGTCCAAACAAACTCATTTGTGTTTTGAAGGGGGAAATCTTCACTGCTCTTTAAAAGAGGGAGACAGAAGCTAAAGCAGTGGTTCTCAACCTGTGGGTCACAACCCCCTGGGGTCAAACAACCCTCTCACAGGGGTTGTCTAAGACCATTGGAAAACACAGATAGTTTCATTATAATTCATAACAGTAGCAAAGTTACAGGTATGAAGTAACAAGGAAAATCATCTTATGGTTGGGGGTCGCCACAATATGAGGAGCTGCGTTAAAGGGTCGCAGCATAAGGTTGAGAACAACTAATCTAAAGTATCTCTATTAAAGGGTTCACAATGCCTGTCTTAGAATCCAAAGTCACATGGCCTATGAAAAGTCAGGAAGATGTGACCTGTTGTTGGGGAAACAGGGATGGGCAGACAACGGTCCTGATGTGACTGTGATACCAGACTTTGCAGGTGAGGATTTAATGTATCCATCAAACCATAATAACCAAGGGATAACGGAAAATATGTTCACAGACATGAACTAGTAAAGAAAAAATAAGAAGAGAGCCATGAAAGATTCAACTGGGAATTTTAAAATAGAGAAGTACAACATTTACAATTATTGTTGTTTTCTTTCTTAGGGAAAGCAGGGAGATGGTAAAGGAAAGAACCCATACATCTAAAGGTACATTAATAGAAAGCATCCAATTAGAAGAAGTTAGGGCTGGGAGATGGCTCAGTGGGTGAAGTGCTTGTCTTATAAGCAAGAAGACGAGTTTGGTCCCCAGAACCCACATAAAAAAGACCAGTGTTAGGAAGAAGATAAGGGAGAAGCTTGGGGACTCACCAGCCAGAAACCCTCATCAAAGCAGTGAGATCCAGGATTATTGAAAATCCCTGTCTTAAAAAGTAAAATAAGGCGGAGGGAGCTGAAGGAAAACATCCAACATAGGCATCTGGCCTTTACATCCACGTAGGCATGTGTGTGCATGTGCATGCACGTGCATGCACGCATACACGCACGCATGCACACACATATGCATACAAGACTAATAAAAAGAAGTGAGCCAGCTGAAGTGAAACGGCTGAACTCTGCAGAAGCGTCTAGGGCTGAGGGACCATGGACTGGCTTTCCCGCTTTCCAACACCACCACCTTGTGTTTGCATGTGTAATGAGTACCTTTGTATGCACAGGAAGGTTCACCAGTGCTCCAGGAAGAGAGAAGAACCTGGTTGGTCCCTCTAGGTATATGGGGAAATTAACACACACACACACACACACCACACACACATACACACCACACACACACCATACACACACACACACACACACACACAGCAGTCACTCTCCTTAGGCCAGTGGCCAGGAGCTGACTCAGACTCCTAGAGAAGAACACGTCCAATAACATGCATGTGGGGAACAAGGTGCTGGGTGCTGCAGCTCCTGTGCCACCCAGGAAACTTCCTGAGAGTCCTAGTAGAGTTCCCCAGACACAGAGAGGCATGTGCCCTGTACTGTGTATGTTAAGGATGGGTGGAAACAAGCCTGACTTTGGAATGGTTTCCTGTGGCTCTTCAATGCCACCATAACTTCAAGATTTTCAGGGGGGAGGGGGAAGCAGTCCAGAAGGAATAGTTTTCTGAAGACCAGGCCTCTGATGTTACTTTAGAGCATTCTTTATGAGATTTGTTCTCTTTCATTTTATGAGTGTGAGCGTTTGCATGTCTGTGCATTCATGGAGTGTGTGCCTGGTGCCCAAAGAAGGCCAGAAGAAGGCATCAGATCCCCTGGAGCTAAAGTTACTGGTACCTGTGAGTCACCTGATACAGGTGCTGGGAACTGAACTCCAGTCCTCTACAAGTGTAGCAAATTTTCTGAACCACTGAGCCATCTATCCAGCCCCAAAACATTTTCTTAAGTGTCAGAAATAGGGAATGGAATATCTCTTCTCCAGAAGATGGGTAAACAAAAAGTTTTTGGGGAAGAAAAAAGTAGAATTGTCTAAAGTCAGACAAAAAGGAAATTTGAGAATCTGGTAGGTATTTTTGAGGTCTGTGTGCAAGTAAAACCTAATAACTTTAAACAACAGTTAAGAGTGAATGATAAAAGCAAGGAGTAACTGATATTCTCTATTTGAAAGGGAAAGAAGCTTTCAGACTACAACACAGGAGGCACTCAGGATCGAGCGCCGAATGCTCCCCTGGACTACTTGTCTATTGTCTTGCAGGGGTAGGACGGACAACATTGAAAATCAAAGCAGTCTCAGAGGTGATGAGTTCTCTCTCCCTCCTCTTGCCTTTTGAAAGATGGAGTCACTGAGCCTAGGCACGGATCTACTCATGCTCGTGCACAGATAGTGATGAAACATGGATCAGAATCTAGCCTCCCATCAGATACATGCAACTTAAGACTGCAACCCAACACTGTCATCTGCAAAGTTCAAGCTGGAGAACTATGCTGTTGAGTGACAAATAGGGGGAAAAATCACAAAATAAATCTCAATTTTGTATGTTTGTGTATGTACAGTTGCACGTGTGTAGACGCAGAGGTGAGAGGTCAACTTCAACTATCATTCCCCAGGCACTATCAACCTTGTCTTTTGAGATACAGTCTCTCATGGGCCTGGAGCTCACTAAGGAACATAAGCTGGCTGCACAGAAAGCCCTAGGAATCACCTGTCTCGAGCATGTCATCACTCCCTGCCTATTATGTGGGTTCTGGGAATTGAATCGGGTCCTCCTGCTCACAAGGCAACTACTTTCCCAAGTGAGTTTTTTCCCCAGTTTTCTCCCCCAGAATGCTTTAAGGAAACATCTGATCATTCATGGGGCTCCTTGGCTCCGCACAAGAGCAGGTTGAGCCTGCCCTGGTCCTGAGCCTGACCGAGTCCTATGTGGTACCACGGTGTGAAGAACTAAGATGTATGTGGGTGCATACAGCTAACTCTTGTGAGTCAGCTCTGGTTCATGACTATTCCCTTCCCACAGACCTCAGGACACTTGCGGGACTGAGCAAAGGCACGTGTAAGAACCAAGGCTCTTCAGCCATTTACCTACCTTAGGCATTTTCTTATAGCAACAGAAAATTGCTTGAAAGTAAAGGATATAAAATCATTATGATATGGCAGCAAGTTGAGTCTGAGAAACGCCTTTTGTTCATCATGTCAAAGACAAAATTAATATACAATGTATAAGGAAAATTACTAGATGTTGTCTTTATATCAGCATCTAAGATAATTTTACAATAGAAAACTGAGGTGATTATAAGCTATGTAAGAAATGTAATAGATATTTTTAACCTAGAAAGATTTTTCTAAAGCCATGTAGTTTATTGTGTGCTAATTATATGCCTGCCTGTAACACCTCTGTGCAAAGAATAATAGAGTGAAGTGAGAGTCAGGCCATATCTGCCTGGGATTTAAATAACTTAAGGAAGTTAACAAGCTTTATAATCAGTGTTTAAATGCTTAAGGAAGACGGGATTCCCCGCCGTGTTCTGAGATAGGTGTAGTGGACACTGTAGGGCCCTCCTGCACCCTCTGATGCTCACGGCCTCCCGATACACACATCACCTTCTCAGTCTTTACCTGGGGTTTCCTGTGATCACCACAGGCAAATGATCCTACCTAGGTGGCCAAACGTCCAGAACCCCAGGAGCAGACCCTAGCCACTGTCTGGTGGGAGTCAGTGAATACTCAATCTGCTGGAGATAACTCAAGCTAGTTCCATACTATATCCCAGAGACCCCATGTGCATGAGCCTCAGCTGCCCACAGAGGTCAGCTTCCTTTCCCAGCCTCGTCTCCTCCACTATATACTGGGGGCTCCTGGAATCGCCTTCCAATTTTCACGTCTCAAAAGCCCAAACCATGAGTTGAGCCTAATCGTCTGAGCAAAGCAAAGCATACATTTATAAGCCCTCTCTATGCACAGCACTGCCCTGGATACTTAGTGTTCTACCAGAAAACATGGGAGCACCACAGACAGAAACATGGTGGGGGGCCCTCTGGGGTGAGCTCCTGTCTCCGTCAGCATCTCTTCCTCATCTTCTGACAACAGACCTCTTCCAGGGACTCTTGACTGTTACCAGGGAATGTGTGCGCCTGCACCTCCACCCCCAGTACACACAGGGCTGCGGCTGCAGAAAGCAGGGGAGGCAGCACATACCTGTAACCTTGTCATTAGAAGGTGGAGACAGAAAAGCATGTGCCAAGGTCACCCTTGGCTACATACAGGGTTTGGGGCCAGTCTAGGCTACTGGAGATACTGTCTTTAAAAAATAAAAAAAAAAATAAAAGTTGATGCTGGGCCCAGTGACCAAGGAGGAGAAGACATGAGCAGAAACAGAAAAAATATCCATTTACTCAGCTTTAAGACACTGAAACTTATGAATCTCCAGGTCCCTAGAGGCCATGGAGACTCCTGGTTACTGCAGCCATAGGCAGTCCCGCCATCAAAGTAAATGATGACCTGACTCACCATGCGTGCAAGCATGCATCAAGGAAATAAGTTCTAGATTCAGACACACAATCTCTACTGTAAATGTGGGCAGAAAAATATTTTCCTGAAACTCGGTCCCTTATCTTTAAAACAGGGGATACATAATTTATCCAGAGGACAGCTCTTTCACTAATCTAAGAGCAGAGCTCTCACTCTGCATGCCAGGCATTTCCGTATAGTTTTGGTTGTGCTCCTCGCCTTTAACTGCTGATCCATCGCTCCAGGCATTTTCTACGTGCTCTCGTGGGACTGTCCCACACAGGTACAGTTATGATTCCCTTCCTGGTCACTCAGTCAATAAGCAGGCAAGTGCTTCACCAGGATAGATCTGATTCCATTCTTTGTGCCTATGTGAAAAGGAACCAGCAAACGCCCAGCACACACTAGGCACCCAAGAAATGCCTACTTTTCTTCTGGCTTCACTGTTGTGTCCTGGACTGTCTCGTGGGGGAAGGGCCACAGAGAGGGGCAGTGACAAGGACAGCTGCTTGGCAAACCAGCTCTTCATGGAGTCGAAGGAGACAAAGGCTCAATGCCAAGTTTTTAATAAAGAGCCTACAGGGAAAATGGATTTTGGCTCCTTCTATTAATACCCAGCCTCCTAAGAGTCTTCCAGCTCATAATTTCTTTCCCTGTAACTGCCACAAAATCCCCCAAATGCCTTTCAAAAGGCCAGAAGCAAGATTATGAAGCAACTTCAAGTTGCAGGTGGAACTAAGTCACCTTTAAAACATGTTTACGTGAAGTAACAGAAGACTAGTGTTGGATTGGGAGTCTGTTCTCCAACTGGGTTTTCATAGTCTGTGTGATGCTGCCTCCCTTTCTGCTCCCTTTTTTCCATTTCACATAGAAATCACAATCCTTCTCTAGATGTTTTAAAAGTTGCCAAGAAAATCATGGGAGGGGCGTTGTGTGTAGATCATTCACAAATTATAAAACCCTATACACTCGTGAGTACTGACAGCTTATCAGACTTGCCTAGAGAATTCTTAAAGAAGAATTTAAAAATTATTTGAAAACGCAGCCACAAGTAGCAGGCTGAGGTGTGGGGAGGGCAAGCGAAGAGAAAAAAGAGCTGTCAGAGCTCCTTCGCAGAGCTGGCAGTTAACCTTCAATCCATTTTATAAGGCCAGGAAATAGCCATATTTTTAATTAAGTGTCCACAGCAGGATCAGCAACATAAAATTTAATGGCAGGGAAGACACCAACTTGAAAGAGCCGCAGCCTCTTACCTCGCCTTCCAGGAAAGAGATTTTTTCTAGAAGCTGCAGTATGAGGAGCTGCTTCTGCTGCACTTTCTTCTTTAATGATTCAATCTAGAAAGAGACAAGAGGAAAATTGTCAGACGAAACTGCAGAACCGTACGACTGCAAGGTAATCAATCAACGGGCAGAAATACTTCGCTTGCTCACATAGAACCTATGTGCAGATTCCTTTTAGATTTATTTATTTTTCATTTTGAGGCAGGGTGGGTCTCACGTATCTCAGGCTGGTCTCCAATGCTACATAGCTGGACATGACCTTGAACCTCTGATCTTCTTGCCTCCACCTCCTGGGTGCTGGGATTTCAGGTGTTTACCACCACATCTGTTTTATGGGGTGCTGGGATTGAACTTGGGGCTTTGTGCACATCAGGTAAGCATTCTACCCACTGAGCTATATCCTGGCCCTTCTATATGGATTCTCTGTTTCCTGGGTCACAGCTGACCTGAGAATCTCTGGCAACAGGGGATTCTGAGACCCAGGGATGTCCCGTTAGTTTTGTGTAGCCAACCCCTCCACACAGACTGTGTTGTTTGGATAACACCCCCGTACGGTTCAGGGAGTCTTTTTCAGGATGGACACAAACAAGTCAACAGAGATGGTCTAAGTTAGACTGATGAAGCACCTGCATTTCAAACATTTGGCTACTTCTCTTAATACATTTGTACCTGACCAACCAGGTGTCAAATGTTTGTTCGGGGCTACGGACAACTAAAGTTATTCTGGAATTCAGAAGGCTAAGGACTCATGAGGACTACAGTAGGCAGGACCGGCTCCACGAGCAGACCTGGGCTGCCCTGTCACCTTTGTAACACATATTACACCTATAGCATCATGGGACACACCATGGACTCCTCTTGGCTTTTCATTCGGGCATCTTGTTTCCTGGGACAGAGCAGAGGGTCTCCGAAAGCAAGAAACGGGGTACTCTGTGCCAGGTTGTGTCTTGAACAAAATGAGAGTGGTATGCAGACTCAACAAGCTTCCAACGAGCTTGTGTGTTTGGGCATCCGGGCATTCATTTACTAAAATTGCAGTGCAAAGTGATAGGGCTCCCATGGAAGGGAACCAGGAGACACCCGGAAGAGCGTAAGCATGCTGATAGGGCTCCCATGGAAGGGAACCAGAGACACCCGGAAGAGCGTAAGCATGCTGATCGCTCGACCCAGAAAGACTGTCTCTAAGCATAGCTCCCAAACACACCTCAGACAAATTATAAATGACTTAGATGTATGACTTTTGATTTTCGAAAACACAAAACCAAATCCATCAGTAGGTGACTGGTTGAACAACCTACCTTATACCCTGCCAGTGAAGGTCTAGGCAGCCTTCAAAAATAAGGATCTCTTACACACTGATATGAGAAACTTAGTTTACTTAGTTAATTTTATGTTGTATGGGTGTTTTGCCTGAAATGTATGTATGTGTACCATATCTGTGGACTCTCCAAAGAAGCCAGAAGAGGGCATCAGATCTTCTGGGGTTTGAGTTACAAAGGTCACATGGACGCTGAGAATCAAACCTGGGTCCTCTGCAAGAAAAGCCAGTGCTCCTAACTGCTGAGCCGTCTGTCCAGCCCCAACTTTAGAAGTGTAAGAATGTGTGTGGCGGCTGGAACAAAACAGCAGGAAAAAGACTCTGGAAAACTGTATCGCACCCTGGTGCTGAAACTGAGGAACTGTCACTGTGTTCGGCGTGGTGGCAGCATTATGACTATCTTAGAACAAGTGCACACTTTGGGCACGCACTGCGCATCGTGCAGGGAACTTACATACATGAGCTAGGATTTGCTTTAACATGGGAGACAGGAGAATGAAAAAAGAGGAATAAAGAAAACCAATGTGGCTGAATGGGTCATGTGTTGAACCTGGAATGAGCCCAGTGAGCTTCACTGGTACTCTCTTTGTGCTGGGTGAACTGAACGCTTTTTTCTTCATTTTGAGGCTGGGTCTCTAACCCAGGCTGGCCTCAAACTCTCTATGCAGCTTATATAACCTCAAACACTCGGCCCTTCTGCTAGACTTACGGGTTGCACCATCACAGTTTTATGCTGTGCTGGGGATCAAACCCAGGCCCTCCTGCATACCAGGTGGTCAGTCTGTCAACTGACATTTTTATTATAAGATATTTTCAATCTCATGTGATATCAAGACGTACCACCCTATGGAAAGAAAAGCTGGCCAAAGAAAATAGAACCAGATAAACACATTTAAGGTTTTTAATTACTGAAGAAACTAAAGAGAGTAGCAAGTTGCCTTAATACCTCTGAAATCTGCCTCCAAAGAAGTGCCTGAAGAGGTTGGCAAGCCTGGGAGGGACAGACACTCGTGTGTTGCAGGTGGCACTGCAAATTAGAATGACCCTTCAGGCAATTTAGCAATAAATATTAAGAGCCATAAAGCTGCTCAGACCCTTTGACCCACTAATCCCACTCCTGGGAATTTGTCCTAAGGATATAACTCACACACAGGAAAAAAGCTGCACGCAGAAAGATGTTCTTGCTTCCATTATTTATAATAGAGAGAAAATGGAAATAACCTTAATGCCTCGCACTAAAGGAACCGGCCATAAATTACGAGATACCAGCATGATGGAGTGTATTACACAAACACTAGACACAAACACTGCGCACAGTGGGAAAGTGTTCGTAAAAAGCCTCGAGGGACGAAAACAAAAGTTTACGCAAGTGAAAAGGAAAGCTGTGGAAGGGATGAGGGAAGAGAAACAGTTCTGATGTTGGTGTAAGACTGTGGGCTAAAAGAAAAAAAATCATGTAATTCTCTCCATTTTGCATAGGAATGGCTTACAGAAATCACCCCATAATGCTCGTTTTCCTTTCCTTCCTACAGTATTGAGGTTTTGTGTGTTGATATACAAATGTATTTGTTTGCACACAAATGCATGCACGTATGTGTGTTCATGCGTGTGGAGGCCTGAGGGCGACACCGTGCATCTTCCTCTGCTACCTTCCACCCTCCGTTTTGAGACGAGCTCTCTCACTGACGTGGAGCTTACTCGGTGCACTAGGCGGGCTGCTCAGGGGTCTTGCCTTGTCCCATCTCATCATCGCTGGAACAACAGGCACAGTCCACCACGATCAGCTTTGTGGGTACTAGGAATTCAAACTCAGGTCCTCAGCTTTCAGGGCAAGTGCTTTGCCAGCTCAATCATCTTCCCAGCCCTTGAGATTTTTTTAAAATTAACTTTTAGTTGTTTTTTTTTTTCTTTTGCTTTGTTTTTCACTTATGGTAGCACTGGGTATTGAACCCAGGGCCTTGTACCTGCTAAGCAAGCACTCTACCACTAAGCTATGCCCCCAGTCCTATAATGACTTAAGTCTTTAGGTGACAGCAAAAATGAGACCGGAAATTCACTGTAGGGCCTAAGACGGTAAGGAGAAAAATTCTATCAAATAACGTAAAAAGCAATTTCAAATACCCTAGCCTTCTGCTGCTAAAGGACTCTTGAATGGCTTGAAAGTCAAGGACACAGGAGTCTTCTTTAAACACTAAAATCAGGCCACAGAGAGCAGCAGGACCTGGAGACATCTATCTCATGGGGAGACGGAGGTCATCCTGCTGACCACTACCCTTAGATTCTAGTTTTAAAATGACATCGGCTTTCCATATCTGTGGGTTCTGCATTCTCAGATTCAAACCGTAGGCCAGAAATAGTCTTTAAGTGTGAAACATGCACAGATTGTTCTCTTGCTAAGATTCCTTGTATGATATGGTATAAAAACTATTCACACAGTGTTGGTATTTTATTAGTTCCTATCAGTAATCTAGAGATGCTTAAAGAAGAAGAATACAGACTTTGCACAATTTCCTGAAAGACCTCAAGATTCTCAGATTGTTGGTCTTTATGAGGGATTCTAGAACCAGACAATAACAGATACTGAGCAATGGCTATAAATCAAGCCACGGCAAAGGCATCATCAAGAAGCAAGACAGAGAATGTTCTGGGAGTATTTTTTTAAAGGAGAAATAGACTGTTGTCACTCTGAGGAGGCATTTAGTTAGGAGGAAGAAGAGAGGATGTGGTGGGGATTCAGGGATTTTAGCAAACATTCACCATACAGGATGGTGTAGATGAACATTCCTCATATGCAGCCAAACCAGGTTTATACGGTGCTGGGGATCAAACCTAGGGCTCTTTGTATGCTGGGTAAGCACTCTCCCAACTGAGCTATACCTCAGCCCTCTTTTCTGTCACTATTTATATTCTGAAGCAGGGCCTCAAGTAGCCAAGACTGGCTAGGAACTCACTCTGTTGCTGAAGACCTTGAACTCGGCCTGATCCTCCTATCCCCCCCCCCCCCCCCCAGGGCTGACATTGCAGGCCTGCTCTACTACCCAGGCCTTTTGTGACTTCTTCAGGCATTCCAAATTTGTAACTTGACCCTCAGGAAGTTCAGTTATTCTTCAGAAAATCTGCATTTAGGTCTAACTCTTACCAGGTGGTGGTGAACGATCCAGAATACTGGGCTTACATCAGGATGTTAGGAAGCAGGAAGTCAGAGAACCCGCTTTTCAGACTTTCCTAGGTGACTTCTACAATGCCTAACCTTGTTATGCTAGCTGAGCCCTAACACACATTGAATGGCTCACAACCATGTGCAGTACCCATAGACACCAGAAGAGGGCGTCAGATTCCCAGAGCTGGAAACACAACAACAACTTTCAGTTAATTTTTTAAAGAGAAGGGAAATAACAGTTGAGTTTGTTATAACTGATCGTTGCTTTTCTCCTCAGCCAGTTGAGACACCTGCATCTGTAGTTTGAGCTGAGCAGTCACCCTTAAGCATGGCCACATATGCATTGCCTGGGGAGGTAGGGGGCTCACAACCTGGGGTTTTGTTGGTGGTGGTGTTTGTTTTTATGAGCTGCTTTGAAAACATTACTGTAGCAAAAGGATTCCCTCCAATTTGCCTCAAAAAGAGTCACCAACTAGGCCAAGAAGAAATCATACAAAAGTTTAGGAACAGGGTTGGGGAGACTCTGTAACGGACATACTATGTCAGCTCAGTCTGGATCCTCAGAGCATGCATTTA